CAAAACCCCAAAACCCCAAAACCCCAAAACCCCAAAACCCCAAAACCCCATAGGTAAATGTTGGGCTATGATTATCTGATAAGAGTGAGTGTTCACTAATTTTTAAACTAAATTGTTATAAATAACTAATTGCCTAATCAAAGTGAATCGTCTTTAATCCCCGACCTGTCCTCTTTTTTATCCTACTATTACTATTGATGACTTCCTTATTTCTTTGCTTCTTCTAAGAACTCCTGCTCTTTATCTAAAATGACTTGTATTTCTTCTCTAAGCTGACTGTAGAATTCTTCTCTTTCTCTGTATCTTTCGAAGTACACCTCTGGTAAATCTGAGCTTGAGTTTTACATATAGGGGACTGCAATGCCAGTAACTGATCTAATGAAATAGTCCATAAACCATTTTGGTAAAAACTACACTTGTGGGTCAAAGTAGATGATCATCTGGAGTAGGGTTCTGTTTACTCCGATTGGTTTGAAATAGGAGATGCAATCTCTGAAGATCATATTAACGGAGCCATGAGAAGCCTTAAGATCAACATCTAAGAATTTACCATCTGGAATGGTTGACACAACTGTGAATAATGCTTAATCATCTTCAAGTACAAATGATTAACTCTCCAGAAATTATTCTCTAGATTTCATTGGCCATGGCAAGTTAAATTTCTAATGAAGTACGGTGTGAAGTGGTGATGCAATCTTAGGAAGCTTAGATTAGCCTACATTTGGAATCCATGAACTGTGAAGGTCAACTTCATTTGATAAGATCAGAGAATTCATCAATGGAGAATATAAGACTGCCTCTATATACTATGTAATGATGTTGTTGCCCTTTTCCTTCTTGTAAAAAATCTTCTTATCGGGCTCATTGACATGTTAATCCCAACCCTCTTAATCCCATAGTAGTGGATATCTCAATTCAAATACTCTCCTAGTGTTTCTCATTCTCTTTACCATAAACTCATTGTTGAATCTTTCCTCGTATATCTTTTTCTACTCAGCAGGATCTTGAGTGGTCTCAAAAACTAGTGTTTTTTCTTCCCATGATTTCTCTAGAAGTCATTTTTAGATTGAAAATATACATACTTATTTCATCTTCGATCTGGAAACTCTTTATAATCTTGTCTGAGAATAGATATTGGTTTAGAAGATCTGCAGCCTTCTCGAATACTACTTGGTCATTTTCATTAGTCTATGAGTTGAGGTTTAAAATATTAGAGGGTTGTTACAATATCAGGGCGAACGTTGTATCTAAACTCGTACTGTCTTAGATTGACTTGCATTGTCAAGCTTAGACATGCAATGACGATTGTATTCAATACTAACTTCATAAATCTGCGTGTATAAAATTTATTATTTATTAAATAATCAATCACCAGGTCATTATTAAGAACTAGGTAAATATCAGTATTTTAATCATTTTTATTGTATACATATCATCGCCTACTCACAATTCCTATTGTATTCTAATCCACGGGGTTTTGGGGTTTTGGGGTTTTGGGGTTTTGGGGTTTTGGGGTTTTGGGG